TTAATCTTCATTAAAGGATTTCAGAAAATTTTATATAATATTTTTAGATAAATTGAAGGAAAAACATAACTTTAGGTCATTTTTAGATAATTAACAACCTCCGTTTAAAAATATAAAGTATTTTTAGTTGAATCTCATCCTCAATAAAGTAATTACTTATTTTTCAACTAACTATATTTATTTATATTTACTTCTATTAAATACCATATAATAAATATAAAGTCAATATCAATAAAGACATTTTTGAAAAAAAAAATGATTACACCTCAAAAAATTAAAAATATTTTACATTTTTTAAGATTAAACTTTTCAATAAATGTTTTATATTTTTAAACAGAGAGAGTATATATTTTTTGGTTTCTCAAGGTATACCTATGACGTTCTCAATCTTTGATTGCCTTCTATCACATTAGGTACATTTTATTTGGTTTCACATGACATCCTTATCATGTCTTGGAATAACTCTTCGAAAAAGATGATGATTTATGAGACAATCATCTTCTTTTATGTTGGTATAGTTGTTCTTATTCTGATATAATTGTCCTTTATTCCTTTGCCTTCCTTATTATTTCGAAATAAGTCCACTATTCCCAAGTATATATGCTCATACTAGTACAAACTCCTTTATACTGGTATAATAATGGTCCAGTCCCAAAAATTCCCTTAATATCCTTTACACATGTATAATATTCCTTATTCAAGAATAAGCATCCTTATATAGGTATAACTTTTGTAGTTACCTTATTCCCATATATGGTCTCATAAATCATTGTTTTTGACAAAGATATATTTCAAAACATAGACTAATCCCATTATGTACATTTTATTTGAGTCATTTATTTTCTAAATTACTATGATATGGTTTATTTTAATATGTTTAATCTTCTTGCCATGGTAGATCCTTTTTTTCCATGGTAATCCAATTTGAAAAATGTTTTGATTGTTAAAAAAAAGACTATTTTCTACTATGATAAGATTTTGTAAATGATTTTGACTCAGCCCATTTTTTTAATCATGGTAGGATTTTCAAATACTATCTAAAGCACTTTCTACCATGGTAATCTTTACTTACCATGGGAATGTTTGAAAGATGAGTTTACCTTTTATTATTACATTAGACACTATTCTACAATGATAAATGTTTAATAGATAAAGTTTATTTGTGAAATTATATAGGTAGCAAAAAATAAGTGTGAAATTTTATAGTGTTACAATTTGTGTCATAACAATTTTTCCCTTAAAATAATTAAAACACAGCATATTTTTAAACATCCATAAATAAATCATGTAAATTCCTTTTCTTCCCTTCTTCTTCCAATCTAATTAAGATAAAAATAAGTTTGATCAATCTGAACTACAGACTTTAAATTAGGAAGAGTGTATAACATTTGTAATTGTAAGAAAAACTATGAACTAGAGGGAATGGGTAGGTGGGGTTAATTGACAATATGATGCATCAGAAGGCAATAATAAAAGATGATGGGATGGCCAATTGAGAGAAAGAGGTCTTACCAAATAATGCAATCCCACATCATTTCTCTCTCTATCTTTCAGCAATTTATCACTAGTGCCTATATGGCTTCTTCTTTATGAACATCTATAATTAAACGTAGTATTTTAATAAAAATAAAGAATAAGGGTAGAAATTTTTTTTTTGAGTTATTTAATTATGTTAAAAAATATGTTATGCTTTAATTATTTTCAAGGCAAAATTGCGATAACGCACATAGTTTAGGGCATTGGATATTTTTTAGAGAATAATTTAGGAAAAAAATGAATCTTATCTCGAATCCACCTAACATGATAGGTGGTATTTTTTTTATATCAACTTAAGTCTTAATAAGTACCCCATCCATCCTGAATTATAAAATATTTTTAGATAAAATCTCACATATCAATAAACCTTATTAAATATACTTAACAATATTATCTTTTTAAAATGAAAATATAAACTTTCAAAAATACCCATAATTTAATATATTAAAAAAATAAAAGACAAAAATTAATTATAAAGAGAGGAAGGGTAATATTGAAATTGGCGTATTTAATGAAACCTTAGTATACTCAAAGTGTCTTATACTTTGAGACGGAAAATTTTTTTCAAAAATGCCTCATAATTTAGGATGGATGTAGTATTTTTAACGGTTAACATTGGGGTATTTAACTTCAAGGGAAAATAAAATACGTTTTAATTACTTTAGAGATAAAATTACTATGATAAATAATTTAGAACACTGCTGCTTCCTGAAAAATAGTTCAAAAGTAAAAATATACCTTAACTCTTCATGTATAACTTAGCTAGATTATAATAAGAAGCAATCACCTATCAAGATTTTAATTATGTCATGTTAAAATACTAACTTAATAATATCATTCTTTAAAAAAAAGAGCTACATATATGTCTAAAAAAAGATTATGAATAAAACCAACTTAAAAGGAATTATTTAATAATTAAACTTAACACATCATCATCATTTTTTTTATAACAACCATCATCATCATCATTCATTTTGTCTCCTAATCCAATTTATAATTTATTTCTCATTCTATATATAAAATAAGAACTATAATTTCATGAATGATTTTATTTAATTTTAAAATTTTAAAATAATTTATAAAATTTTTTTCATATTTTAAATGATAATTTTATAAATTATCTCATACAATTTAAAATTATATTTAATTGTCTTAAAAAAATTTTTCAGTGGTAACATTTATCGCCTTCAAAAAATTTTTTCAGTTGTAATTGTCAAAAGTCATCCTCAAAAATTCATTTTGGGCAGAATATTTTTTTATTCATTTTTGAAAGTCGCCATTAAAAATCTGTTTTTTTTTTTAAGTTATTCAAGCAATGACTCTTAATAATTTATATAATTCTTAACTTGAGATCTTTGATCTCAACATCCACGGGTCATTCTCTCAAAATTTATTTTTGACTTCTTCAGATTTATCCTGCTCCTGTTTTTTAAAACAATTCTTTGATTTCTAAAATAAAGTAATTCTTAAATTATGTATCATGCTTACATGGAGGAATGATATTTAAGTTCCAAAGAGTTGGATTAATAAGAGTTAGTTTGTTGAAATTTTTTTAGAAATAAATTATAAATACTAATTTAAATAGTTATAAATAGAAATTTCAATTACAAATACTCTCTCCATTCAAAAATATAAGGCATTTTTTGTGGAATTAGATGTTAAAAAATATAAAGCATTTTTAGTCTTTCAAAGTGTAATTATTTCTTTATTTTCAAAAATGTCTCTATTGATAATGACTTATATATTTATTATAAGATGTTTAATAGAGGTAAATATGAAAGCATAAGATTAGTTAAAAGGTAAGTAATTACTTTATTTGGAGTGAGATTTAATTAAAAATACCTTATATTTTTAAACGAAAGGAGTAACAGAAATGAGTGAAAGTTCAAAATATTCACACATTTAGAGAAGGAAATTATTGTGCTAATTAGCTTGCAAGAATAATTTAGAGATGCCTAATAGTTTTAAACTTTTAATTTTATCACTCAGCCCCTGGAGAACATGAGTATTTGTTGTATTGAGATAAATCCTTCTTGGTCTAATTAATTAACAAAGTTTTGTTTGGGATTTGCCCTCACTTTTTTTCTTTAAAACAAAATATAAATTGCAAATTAAAAGTTACATTTAAAAATTAATGTTTATTTTGAATGAAAACTTAATTTTTCATTTGCAATTAAAACTAATAAATTTATAATCATTTTTCATATGAATCAATATTTGTAATTATTTTTAAAAAATTGTCTGGGACCTAATCTGGGACCTAACTATAATTTAGTTTTTATTCTGGAACATGACTATCATATTTCCTTCACATATTTAAGTTTATGAAAAGCGATTCGGTCAATCATGCATGTGGCATCCTTGCAAACGCAACTTTATTTAAGGAATATATATAATTGCATTGAAGTAGTAAAATTACATCTCTATCTTTTGCATAAAGAAATAAAGATTGAAAATTTCATTTTCAAGAATGAGTTAAAATACACACCACACTTATTCAATTTTTATGTAATGATGTTTGTGTTTGTTTTTTAATTTAAAAACTTCGTCTCATTGTTATAAATGCAGAAATTTTTTAACAATAATGACATTTCTCTATCAAATAAAACGGATTCAATTATTAAAAATTATATCAAATTATGCAAAAATCTCATCTTCAATAAAGTAATTATTTATCTTCAAACTAACATCATCTTTTCATACTTATCTCTATTTAACAGAGTATTTTATTTTAAAATAAATATAAAGTAATTTATTTATTATGAGTATTTAAAAAAACATAATGATTATATTTTAAAATACTAAATTTTTTTTATAATTTTTAATATTAAACTTTTCAAAAATACTTTATATTTTTTTTAATGGAGGAAGCATATTAAATTGATTACATTATTTAATATTTGTTAATTAAAAAGATGCTGAGAATTTAAATTAAATATTACACATTTTCCTTTTTTTTTTTTCCATTTTGTAATCAATGAGGCTGTCAATATGTTGGTTTTAAATTTTTTTTAATCTACTGTAAATCATTCGGGTGTTAGACGTTGGACATAAATTTTAAATCATAAAATTTATAAAAGAAAAATTACGGTTTGCAAGTGACAAACATTTTCTCTCAGCATAATTTCTTGCATTTAAAAAACATTTTATTTTCAAACTATGCACAGTTAAATTATTTAACTTAAACGAGTCCCAGTTATTTTGAATTAAATTTTTTAATATGTCAACAAAAAATCATTTTTCCAGAAAAATAAAACAAATACACAATTTGATATTCTTTTTTAAAGTCTTAATTCTTCAATTAATTCTTTGCTTGGCTTGGTCAGAACTCATTGCATCTTAGTTTTTTATTCCACAAATTAAACCTTATATTTTAATCATCTAATCAATATCAATGTGAATACGTACAAGTAAGACAATCGTCCCACCATTTTTTTCTGTAAGTTTCAAACGATCTTACAGCTTGCAGGAAAAAAGAGATAAATATCAAAGAAAGTCAAGTGAGTCAAAACTCAAACGCATTGCTTGAGGGTTAAAAAAACATGAACCATGTTACGCGGCTTGTGTTCTTTTCTTGGGTTCATGAGTTTTTCGCTTTCGCCCTTCTCTTTCATAATTCTTTCTGATATTGTTCTTGCTAGCTTTACCTCGGAAGCTTCTCTTTCTATCTCGATGAATCAATCTGCCGAAGAACACAGTTATCAGGTATGTCGCTGTACGATCTGCTTTCTTGCTGGGAATATTGCAAAAATAGCAGGAATTTGAAAATAATTAACATTTTGAAGAATTTACACCTGAAAGCTAAATGGGTTTACATTTAGGTTTGGTAAATTGATAATCTTGCTTTTGATTTTACAAATCGATTGAACTGAGCTTCTGGGTTTTCATTTGCCCATAAAAGTTGAAGGATCTTTCGGTGAAGAAATTATGTGTTTTAAATAATTCTTGTTGTAAGTTTTCTGATCCGAACGGTGTCAAATTCTTGTTCTAGTGTCAACTGAAAGATCTAATGGAGTTGACTGTGGTCTTATATTTCTATATTGTTTATTATTGTTGATTAGCTGCAATCATTATTTGAATCACAGAAGAAACGGCATTGATAGCTGGCATGAAGGACTTGCTTCTTGATTTTCAATGCTTCGCTGAATGTCTGCGTTGGTATTTCATGGAGGCCTTTGAATTTACAGCTGACGAATTTCTTGCACTTTGCTTGGTTTTTGCCTTCTAAAAGCTTAATAAATGATAGAGCACAATGGCGTCTTGCAATCCATGTAGCCGACCCCACCTAGTGGGATAAAGGCTTGTTGTTGTTGTTGTTGTTTGCTTGGTTTTTGCCTCTTTCCTTGAAGTGCTTATTGGGTTCTTTTGCCAAATCTTTATTTTTTAGGTTCTTGGTAGCAGCACGCAAGATTTCAGTTTGCTTGTATGTTAAAGGTCTATCATATCAATCCAAGATCCATTAAGAGAGCAGTGGTGCCATTTGATTATTGGTCCTGGCATCAGAGTGGATTTGGCTGTGATCATATTCAGGCTATTATCTGTATCTCTATGGATTCAATTCAAAATAAAGTTTATTATTGTTGTGTTTCTAAGGGAAGCCGCATTCTGTATGCATATAGTGGTGGAGACCATGAAATTGAGAATGTTGCAGCCCTGTGCATGGAGAGGGCTCCCTCTTTCCACTGGTGGTATTTTGAGACAATTGGTAAAAGGACTTATGGGTTTTTGATGGAAGATGGTTATGTTTACTTTACAATTGTTGATGAAAGTCTTGGTAACTCTGGAGTTCTTCGCTTTTTGGAGCATGTTAGGGATGAGTTCAGAAACTTAGCCAAAAAGGATTCAAGAGGAAGTTTGTCAAATATGAATTCTGTTTACATTCAGGAAAAATTAGTTCCAGTTATCCGCCGCCTGATCACTTCATTGGAGAGTGTGTCGGATAATAATAGCAATTTGAGGGATGAAACTTTGCCTTTTCAAGTGGGTCTGTCTCCATCACCAAGTAATCTAAATGGACAGATTGAAGGTGCTAGCTCAACAAAAGCCCCTTTATTGGGAAAATCTAACAAGCAAGATAAGAAGAAAGCAAAAGATCATGTGATTGCAATGCGAGATGTTGAGTTGGAAGAGAATCGGAAATCTACAGATAGGGGAATAAAGGTTGATTCAGGAAATGTGGACTCTAATAGTCAAGGTGGAGCAGCTGCTTCATTCTCTTTGCAGAAAGATTTTGGTTCGATGAGGATGAGATCAGGTCCTCAAAGCATTCGCAAGAAATGGTGGCGCCAAGTACGCATTGTTTTAGCTATTGATGCAGCTGTCTGTTTAATATTATTTGTCATCTGGTTAATAGTATGTGGTGGCATTTCCTGCATTCGCTAAATATGCAGTCTTGTATTATTTTGGATTTCAATTGCAATTCAAGCTGAAACTTGAAAATCACTACACATGGTGATCTGTGACAGAAACAAGTTTCTTTGTGGAGCATGTAGAAGGAGGTGACACATTGATCTTGTCTGTAAGACATAGCACTGATAGTCATGTCCATTGAGTTACCCATCTGCTGTACAGTTTCTTCAACACATTTGTATTTATTATAGATGAATGTTGGGAGAAATCATATGGTTCTTGATTCACTTTTTTATATGGTACTGCTTTGGGTAATGGTATGATCATCAGGAGCTGACGTGTCACCAAATTTTTGTTCTTTTGCTAACTTTGAGTAATTATAGTTCCAAAATTCTTCAGACAAGTTTTATTACCTTCTCTGCTTGAATATTTTTCTGTTTTAACTTTTAACATTTCGTAATTAATGAGGGTAGAAAGAAGAAAACCATAAGTTAGAAGTTGAAGAAAGCACCTAGATCACTAATCATATCTCAGGAAAGTAGTTCCCATGTAGAATCTTGAATTATGCTATAAACCTGTTGAATGTTCTATTTATCGGAGCCCTGGTGAGATGTCTGGTAGTGGCCAGAAAAAATTCAGATTCTCTTGTTTATGGTTATTTGTAGATGACATGTATATTTTTGGTCCTTCAAAGATACATAGTTAGGAAATTTGTCCCTGTATTTCACATTTACGTGATTCAGTTCCTGCATTTTTTTACTAGCTCATGGTTAGTCTTTGGAGCATGTTTTTTTCCCTGTTTTTTTACTACTAGGGGAACTAACAAACGGAGATCTAAAAATATTCAAGGAATGAATTGTGTTGGAGAAGATTCAAGGACCAAATAGTTGAGGCATCTATCTTTCAAAAGCTCATGATATATATATATATATATATCTGTATTCATTTTCTCTTGGAGGTTCATACACCAGAAAAATTATTTGAACTGATAAATTCGGTATTATATCAGCCTTCTATAAAAGAAATATGCATAAAGTTATGAACAGACATAGGAGAGTGATGAAGGCCTTCATAGGGTAGCCACAAGTAATTCTTGTAAACCAAAGTGACATGTATCTTTCCTCTTACAAACTTCTTACGACTTCCGTGGAAAGGACTATCTGCAGAGGGTGCAACCAGCAGGTGGCTGGAGTAAGCATTGTAGGGTGCAATTGTTGATGACTTTGGCTCTTCAATAGTGATGATATAATGGAGTCTTACTAGTAGCCCCAAGTAATTCTTGTAGTACTTAAATGGCTTGGTTTTACTTCCTTAGAAGTCAGTCTTGAAGGCTGGGTTCTCCAGGTTTTCTTAGGATTCCGTCATAGACATTAGATATTGAAATACTGCTATAACTGTGCCAAAGTAGCATTAGTAGTCTAATGATCAATCCATCATACCATCAGCTTCTCCATTCAATTTACAAGATGGATGCTGTTCAGTTAAAACATCTGCTTTCAGGCAAAGAGCTCTGAAATTGCGTCATCTTTACCAATTGAGGAAGTCATTCCCCTTTTGAGTTCAAGGTTGTCGTAGAAATTTTGCAGTTAATGCCAATATCTTCGTCCATATGTAGGAAACTAAACAAGCCATTAATAATGGTTCTCTTAGGATTAGCAAAGGGCTGCATAAGATCAACTACCATGACCTATAACAGTTAATGCCAGGAAATTATGATCCTATATAAAGGTTGGACTATTCCTCTGATGCAGTTTTTACTGCTGTGCTGCTGATTTGTAACAAATTAAATAGAACAACTACTTTTTCTTATTGAAGTAGATGCTTTGATACTCCTTCATTTTAGTTGAAGTGCATCGATAATACACTTGCTTTTCAGGCACGTCACATGTTAGATGCACGTTCAACTTTGACATCCTCATGACATAACGACATCGTGAGGAAGAATGAAAAGGTTTATTTATTTCCATATGTTTGGCTTTCGTACCTACTTGATGCTCCTCAGGCTCTTGCTAGAGATGGTTCAAACTTTGATAACTCTAAAATGGGTACAAAACCACAAGAAAGGTAGAATGAGAGACTAGAAATCCCATATCGACAAAATAATTTGTCTTTTAGTGATTCTGTCTTGTGCTTGAAATTGAATAATTTGAATACTATGACTTTACAGCTTGATGTGTAGTAGGTCCCCCTCCACCCACAAAAAAAAAAAAAAAAAAAGCAAAAAAAGAAAATAATAACGTAAGATACTTGGATTATTGGATATTGCTAAGTTGTTTAGGTTTAGAAGTATATTACTTCACAGACTTGCACCCAACCCTTTCATTGGTGTTTGGAGTATAGTGTGATCTAGGACAGCAAGATCCCCAATTGTATTTGGACCAAAAAGGTGCAAGGGTATTTACATCATTTTCTTATAATACTGCTTGAATTATGCATATTAAAATGAGCTAAGTGCCTTTGCATTAATTATGTATTTACAAGAAAATCACTTGAATTGAATACCTTGTGCTTGTTTTGTGTATCAGTGAAAAGGTGAAGGGTTTTAATCCAAAACATAAAATGTAGAGATTGCTAACCTCCACAAGTTTAGAAAGGATTTTCTGACTTAGTTGGGAGAGGATCAGCTTGCTTGTGTGGCTCTTCCCTGATAAATTTTTGACTCACTTGAGCTGAATCTTCTCGGTGGCATTAAGTTGTCTCTTAACTCATTATATAGAGCTTAGCTTTCACTGAACCTGCAGCTTAGTTAATGTAACCTGACTTGTTCTGTTCTATTTGGATTGGGTTAGTTAATGTGACCGAGGTTTGAAGGGGACTAGAAAAATCTGATCTTTCTAGGCTATACTTGGTAAAAGGGACTTGAGGTAGGAAAAATTTAAGGGAAGATATTTTTATCATGTTTAATAGATGGCAACGTGTGTCTTGATTTGCTTTTTTATTTATTTGCTTTGTTTTGCAAAGAGAGCTTCTCATATTTTTGGGAGTACTTTCTCATTTTCTTCCCCATTTTCATTCCCTCTTTGTACCAAACAGGCTCATAATTCAGTTTTGAGATGATCATGATAGGATAGTCATAATTCTTATCTTGAACTTGCCTCAAATTCCTTGTATAACGTAAATTTACAAAATTATCAATGATAAAACTTAAGCCTGAGATGAAAGAGGTTTATTTTCAAATTAATGTATTGATTTATATATGAATTTCTTGATCTGATATCGCTTTAGTATACAGAGAAATAGATTGATTTAAAAGCAGTTTTATCAAATATAAATTTCTCTGACCATTTTTAGTGTATTTTGGGTCTTTTCTTAAAGATATCGGGCAATAAAATATCCGTGGTGTGTGCTTATAGTGCTTATAAAACATAAAGAAAGAAACAAAGAAAGGAAATTTAAAAGGAAAAAAAAAAAAAACCACAAAGAAAGAGAACTTAATGAAAATAGAAAAAAGAAAGCTAGAAACCTTCATGATTGTGGGAGCAAGAGACAGAGAACTTAATGAAGATGCCTAGTATGAAAACTGACATTGCTTCGCCCAGTTGTCATCATCATTAGTTTGTACGATCGGTTAACATCCTGATTTTGATGCAAAAAATTGAATCTTTGTTGATAATTGAACTCAAGACAGGGAGAAACTTTTCTGATAGGAAGTGAGATGTTTGGCTATCCTGAAACCATATTGACTTACATTGTCTTTGGGGAGATATGTGTGGGTAAAATAGATCCTTCATTTTGGGATAATGAAGTCAGCATCAAAGGACATAATCATATTAGCATGAAGTCAAGGAGCAGAGGGGTACATACCAGGTTGATACAAAGTAGCTGTAAAACCAGTGAAACCAAAATGGTAAAATTTAGCATCTTGTAAAAGATATTCTAGACTAGATAGGACAGGATACTCTCCTTTTAGCCCGTAATTTGGACTAAGCTCAACGCGCTAACTTAAATTTGCCAAAAAAATTTTAGGGTTAGACTTGAGAATTTAGAAAGTTTTCTTTACTTCAGACTTATTTGTCTACCCAAGTAAGCCTGAAAAATCTGCCAAATAAGCTTTAGCTTGAATACCAGAATTTTTTTTATTATTAATAAAATAAATTTAAGTAAGATAATTTTTTATCAAAAATAAGATAAAAATTGAAAATCTTAATTTTTTAATATAAAAATTGAAATTGGCTAAAAAAAGAAAAATAACATAATATAATATAAACATTTAACAATTCGATATTCAAGCTACCTCGAAAAATTGAGATGTTAGGTCTGCATTTGAATATATAGGCTTTTTTATATGTTCAGGTATTTTAACCTCAATTTGAATTGAGCCCGACCCACCCACTCTTTGTCCATCTAAAATCTTGCAGAAAGAATGTTAACTCCTTCGGATTGAAAGCATGTTTAGTTTCATGTTGGAAACCACCTGCTTTCAACAAAACCATCATTGTAGTGATTTCCAACATGGAACCAAACACACAATTAGCATGCTCTTCTGCTGTTGCTGGATAAATTTCAAGATTTGTCTAGTAGCCTCTAATGTTGCTTGTAAAATGCCCTGATCCGCTTATCCGCTGGTTCATGAGTGCAATAGGTCATGATCAAATAGTACATAAATACATGATCAGGCACTGCTGCTGCTTTCTTACTTGTTTTTGCAAGTACATGCCAAGTACTCATTTTGGTGCCTATTATAGAGCGTCTTCTGGAAAAATTCTTTGGCTTTTCATATAAGGTATTTGATAGGATATTAATTACATTTTTCTAATATTGTTCCTATTTAAACTCATTGACTGTGATAGAAAATGTAATGCAAATTTGCAAACTTTTTATTTAAATAGGGATACAATTGAAAATTTATTTTATTTTCAGACAAAGTTAATAACTTAACCACATTTGTTTAATTCTGATTAGATAATTAAAGGTACTTTATAATAAAAACTAAGGGAGCATTGATGCCAGAGGATGACCTGGACCGGAATGATTAGTTCTTTTGTCCCATTTTGAATTTGGAAGCCTCCATGTTGAGTATAAAATGACAGCAGTTAAATTGTGTCATGAAAGCCTCCAAATAGCTTACCTTGCAACCTAACATTATCCCAAGTGGAGCTTGAACATGGAACTCTCAACGCCACAATACGTAATAAATCACGTGGTGTTCAATCTAGAACACTAAAGAAGCAAAGCTCATTGAAAGAAATTGAGAAGTTCTCTTATTCAAGTCTTCTTAAAATATGCCATCGACATTTGAGTAGTATTTAAAAAAAATAAAAGATTCCTAACTCAGCTTGTATCTGAAAACTCCCT